CCCCCCCCCCCCAGGCAAGGGATGTTTTCAAAGTTGGTTAAGAATAATTCCCGGATACATCGTGACAATAAAACAATCTAGAATGTTTTTTGGTTTTTTTTTCAGAATTTGGTTGTTTTTTATGGGGGGGAGGAGGTTAGTGTAGTGGGAAGCTTTGCGGGTAGGTCCCTGCGCGGGGCGTCTCCCCTATTTAGTTGTGGAGCAGGAAGGGGGTTTCGCTGTCTTGTGGATTTCTTTTGCTTTGAATTTGGGGGTGACCGGGCCTTCAACGTGCTCTGACAGCTGCTGGGGGGGTGTCACCAAATTTCCCTTGGGGCGGGGCCGGGTCGCCCCTCCCCCTTCCTGGGGTGGGGCCAGTGGAAAGCCTGAGGGTGGGTGGAAATGGGAGAGGGGCGGGTTCTGGCCAAGCTGTGAAGGGACCGCTCCACCCCGCTTCCAGTTTAAAGTTTGCAACTTGATTCCTTGGTGGTCGCAGAGGGAGTTCAGGGAATGTACTCTGTGCTCCCCCCCATTGTTTAAACTCCCTGAGGGCTCTGTGGAGGGGTCTCTAGGGGCCCCAGTCCCTGAATTCTGGTTGCCCCACCCCCACGTCTCAGAGTCTGGAAGGGACGCAGCCTTGGAAGACCCAGATCCAGAGCAGTTAGAGGGGCTCTTAAAGAGCCCTCCTCCGTCTGCTCACCTCAGCCGCTGCCACTCATGGCTCTTCTCTTCTCCACCCCTCACCTCTCCTTGCATCCGTTGCGGGCACCCTGCAGGTCTGTCTCTAGGCCTGAGGAGCCCCCCCCAGCCCCGGCCCCTGGCTCCCCGTTGCTGCTGGAGAATGAACCAGCCACAGAGGATGGCGCCCGTGGGCACGGACAAGGAGCTCAGTGACCTCCTAGACTTCAGCATGGTGAGCGGCCCTCTCCGTCCCCCATCGTCTCCCCCCCCGCCCCCCACATGCCCAGCTGTCCACACTCCTGCGCCCCCCAGACGTTGGGAAAGAAGCTTGTGCCAAAAACTGCCAGCATCTGGACCTCAAGCTCCTATGGGTTAAAGAGTCCCAGGTGGGGCTAGGGGAATTGTGGCGCCCTCAGATGGATGGGTTGACGCCCCTGCGGCAGGGTGCAGCTTTGGGGCCCTTGTCGGCTTCCAGAGGCACCCGTCATCACCCAGCTGTTTGCCCAGGCACAGAGTGGGTCCAACCCACCACTTTGCAGTTGGGGAAACTGAGGTCCAGAGCGAGGGAGGGACTGCCCGTGGCCTTCAGCTTTTCCCTGGGGAGGCTCGGCCGTGAGGCCCCAGCTTGGCTCTGGGCATGCAGTGGCCTTGCCTTGGGACCTGTAAAACTGTGTGAAAGGGGTTATTCATGCTCTCGTGGATGCCAAAGATGGTGGGTGCCCAGAGTCTAGGTGTTCTCTGTGGGGACCTTCTGTAAATGAGGAGAGGTCACAGGCAGTGGACGTGTGATTCCTCAGTTGTTTATTGACACGAGAGCCAGTGCCGTGGGTCTACGGGGTGGGGGGGGGCAGGGGGATGTCCTCACACTTCCCAGGAGGTGTGCTCCATTCGACACAGCCCGTTCCCCAGCCAGGCCGATGGACGTCCAGAGAGGTTACTGCCTTCCAGAGGTCACACAGCTCAGACGGGCCCAGGGAGGCTGGGAGCTGGACCGTCCCTTGGAGGGCTGGGGGCCTTGGTTTGCCTGTCTGTGCAATGGGCCACCTGTGTCGGAGGGAGGGGGGTGGTCTGCGTTTCCTCACAAACCCAGGAGCTATGTGTGGACTCCCTAAATCCTGCCCCCACCCCTCCCCCAGCAAGCACTATTTTGGTTTGAAATGGGTTCAGGGAGGATGCTTTCGGTCTGAATTTAATGGTCTGAATTTAATCCTCTGCCGGTATGAGGCCCAGGCCACTGAGGTCTGTCGAAACAAAAGTCCCCAAACTGAAACGACATCATCCGCCCTGCGGAAAAACACAGCCCACGGGACGGAGCGGCCGCGGCTCCGGAAGGGCCATGCCGGTATTTTTAAGCCCCGTTTTATTTTTGCGTCCCAGCTGAGGAATCAGGGGTGCTGCTCAGTTGTTTTTTTGTTAAACTGACAAGTCACAGACCACTGGGCCAGAACAGACCGGCTTGGGGGTCAGGGGAGGGGGTGGCACAGGGTCTGATCTCGCCCCCCCACCACCACAGCCTCAACCACTTGCCCACCACCCCCTGCTGTCCAGGGGCTCCAAACTCCCCCGCCCCCCAGCTCAGACCCATTTCACAGATGAGGAAAGTGAAGCTGAGCGTGCGAGGTGCCCAGTGTGTGTCCTCTGGGAAAACCCAGAACTGGATTTTTGTTTGACCTCCTGGTTCCTGTGAGGAGAGAGGCCCTGAGGCAGCCCCCCATCACAGGAGGCTCACACCCTTTTCTTCCCACCTGCCCCAGAGACACTGAGTTAATTTGCTTTTTTTGAAACAAATTTTCGACTGAAAAGATTTTGAAGGGAAAGTGCTTCCTTGGGGTAGGTCCGTTTAAGGTAAACGAGGCAACTGCCAGTTCAATACCAGGAAAAATGGCTCCTTCTAGCTGTTAAAATTGCACCTCTGCCCCAGCCCTGAGCTTTCGCCTGTTAGGCTGGTGGCTCTGAGGGTGTGTGGGCCTGAGGTGGTCCCTGGGTCTGACGACAGCCTTGAAGGGCGAGGGGTCGGGGGAGGGTGCCGTGGGCTTGCCTGGTGGCCCGACCGTACTCCTCTGAGCTTTGTGCGTGCAGAGGCCCTTACATGCCCACGATGCCCACATGCGATTGGGTTTCATAACAGCCCACACGGTGCGAACCCTGCGTCGGTTTCACAGAAGGGAATACTGAGGCTCCGAGGGGGGTGTGGGGACTTGGCTGGGCTGATCACAGACCTTCAGTGTCTGCAGGACACAGACCAGTTCCCCCACCCCCCCACCCCACAGCAAGTGCCACGTCAGCGGTCCCTGGCACTCTGGAGGGCGAAACAGAAACAGAATTGAGCACCACCCCCCTCAGGCTCCTGATCCCCAGGCCTGCCCCTCCCCCAGCGCAAGCCTCCGTGTCCCCAGCAGGAAAGGGGCCCGCCTTGAGGCCAAGGCCCTGGGTGCGGTGAGCACAGCCCTGCCCCCGGAGCGGACTACAGACCCCGTGAGAACCCGAGTCCTGGGTGTGCCTGGGTGCACACCTGCCCCGAGTCTGCACTCGCCCTGCCAGCTCAGCTTGTGGCCTCAGTTTCCCCTTCTGGAGAACAGGATGTGGGGGCAGGACCCCCTTTCCTGGGTCACTCCCAGGGCTTGTGATGCTGCCCCGAGTCATGCCCACAGAACGCACACCCCCATGTTCTGCTTGTCAGCCGCTCCCCACAGAGCCTTAATGCTGATTGAGGCCACTCTAAATTGCTTGGTCCCCAAAAGAACCTCTGAAACTCAGACCGTTGGGGCAGGGCAGGGTCATGGTTTGTTTCTTCTGCAGCACGAGGGTTTGTTGATGTTGGGTATTCCCAGTTAATGCTGCTAAGCTGTTTAATCTTGCGGGACTTAACACTGGGTTTGGGTGAGCGAGTGGGGGGTCGTGGCGATGCACTCACACTCGGTGCCCACCCACCCGGGAGAGCTGCCCTGTCGTTGGCCGGGAAGGGTGCAGCTCTGAGCCCGGAGCCCGGCTC